AAAAAAAAAAAAAAAAAAAAAACATTTACACACAAAATTAAATGACACTTGACAGACATTAGAAATTTTTTTAGAATTTTATAGCTATTAAATTATTATAGAAAAAAAATTTAATTAAAAAATTCCACATGTAAAAATGAATAAAAAATTATAAGTGAAAATTTTTAGAAGCATTTTTTTATTGTAATTGATTTGTTAAAAAAAATTTTTAAAATACTTTAGTATGATAAAATTATAATAATAAAGTTAGCCGACATTTTTTTATTTTTTAATTTTGTTTAATTTATTAAATTAAAACTAAAAAAATTTTTTTTTTAATTGCACTTACAGTTTTTGAAATTTTTAACAAATATGAAATTAAAAAAAAAAAATTTTTTGTAATGATTTTTTTAATGAAAAAAATTCGAAAAATTTTTAAATGTTGGCTAACTTTATTGTCATATAAAATTAAACTGTTTCATCAATTATATCACTTGATGAATTAATTATACAAAATAACACACTAATTATTAAAAATCTCATTGCATACACGTGTTCAAATTTATTTTATATATTTTATGGACTATCACTAAAATTATTCTTCTTTTTTAATCATTATAATGTATGCAATTATTTTATTTATTTTCAACAAAAAAATAATTAAAAAATATAAAATTAAAATGTAATCATTTTTAGCAATAAGGAATTCATTTACAAAGCAAAAAATTTTAATTAAGTAAGCTAAAAAAAATTAAATAAATAACTGTACGTTACCTTTTACAGTAGATTCATAACAAAAACGATTTAAGTAATCGATAAATAAACAATTAACTTTTATCACAGCATATTTGTAACAGGTAAAATAACTAAAATAACTAATTAACAAAATAAAATAAAAAGCATCTAAATAAGGAAGACGATGCTCCAACGAGGAAATAAACAGCCGTGGTTGTGCTGTCAATACGATGTTTTCACTACTCGTGGACGAGATGGATTGCGCGCGCGCAATGTCACGGCCAGCAGCACCAGCAGTAGACGTCAACAACAAACGGGAAAGGCCCCACCAGCGATACGAGCTTGGTATCAACTCCAGCTCAAACTATCTCTCCACAATTTCTCTCCATTCTACCTCGCACTTTCTTTCTTTCTCTTATAATCAGTACCAGGGAGTCACTACTCCATTCACCGATCATACCTCTATCTCTACCTCTACCTCTGTTTCCTCCTCGAGTACTTTTACCTCTACCTTCTACCTTATATTATACCGCTCTTTCTTTGGCACACTTATGATATTGCTTTGGGCATAAACATCTGAACTAGGTTGTTCAATATCTGCTTTTTGCTTTATATTACTTAAAGCTTTATACTGACATACATACTCATTTGCGTACTCAACTTTATCGTTAAATTGATAAGATATAATAACCAATAATTAAAAAATTATCATATCAATATAAATACCAGTTTAAATATTTTTTTTCTATTTCTTCTTATGATTATCTAGACAGAAAGAAAAATTTCTTGACTGGAGAACAAAATTCTTGGCTCAAGAAAATTTTCTGGTGCCTGAAGGAAGACTGAAGTAAAAATTTTTCTTGAAATTCTATTCTTGGTGGAAGTAATTTTTTTTAATTAAAATTATCATAAATACTTGATACAATAAATTTTTATATTTGATCAAGATTTTTAGACACCTTGAGAAAATTTTTCTCTTGAATATTTGATACTCATTTTATATTATTTTAGCGTGCAATTATACATATTTAATCAAATATTATTTAATCTTCTCATTTGACATGTTAATCAATAAAAATTTACTTCTATCTTTATATTTAATTTTTTGGAGCAAGAGAGAAATTTTCTCAAGACAAGAAAATTTACTTCTTGACTTAAATAAATTGAACTTGTTGAACAACAAGAGTTTCTTGACTTAAATAAATTTTCTTGGATCAAAATACGTATTTCCTAAAGCAAGAGAATTAATTTTGTTGAAATAAGTGAAATTTCTTGTGTCAAAAAACTTTTTTTTCGCTCAAGAAAATAATTAGGAAGAAAAATATTTTCTTGGCTCAAGTAAACCTTTTTTTTTCTGTGTACTTTAATTTTGACTGTATTTAAAAAAAAATTATTTTTTTTTTGGTAATTTATAAATTTATTCTGATTGTTTGGCTGAAGATACGTATTTCTTAAAACAAGAGAATTAATTTTGTTGGAATAAGTAAAATTTCTTGTCAAAAAAAAATTTTTTTTAGCTCAAGAAAATAATTAGAATTTTGTTGGAACACTGAGAAGAAAAAGTACTACTCTTAAGAAAATTTTCTTGTCACAAGAATATATATTCTTGATAATTTTCTTGTCTCAAGAATTGACCGAATTACTTGAATTATTTTTTGTTTAATTCAAGTGAACCTATTCGTTTGTTAATCTATGAAATTTAATTATCATGATAGATATTGATATTCTTTTGTCAAAAAATCAAAATTTATTTTAAACGATTTTTGAGCCAAGAAATTTTTTTCTGAACAAAATTTTTTTTTCTCGGTGAAAAAGTGAAATTTCTTGTCAAAAAAAAAAATGAAATTTCTCCTCAAAAAAAATTTTTTTTTTCGCTCAAGAAAATAATTAGAAAGAAAAATATTATTCTTGACTCAAGTAAACCTTTTCTTCTTTATATTATTCCTGACTTTAAACTTTTCACCCTGATTAAAAAAAAGTATTGAGACAAAGGAAAAAGTATTGAAAAGAATTGGTTTTCTAGTCAATCCAATTCTTTTCAATACTTTTTTCTTTGTCTCAATACTTTTTTTTATTCAGGGCATTTCGTTAAAAAATTCCTTTGATTTTATATATGACCCGTTAAGATAAGATTTATAATAATTAATGATGATGATGATGATAAATATTGTGTATATCATGGAATATCAATATCTTCCGGCAGTAGGAGTAGTTAAGAATAAAAAAAAATAAAATGATTGTCGCTTTCTCCGTGACATGAAACCAGATATTCCGGTACTAACTATACGGGTTTTTATATTTGTTTCGTTATAATATGAAATATAAGTACCGATATAATGAGGAAATGAGAGCGTGGATACCGCCGCGCCGCGGAACTGTCAAACCTTCAGTGTAAAATGATAATGAATATTGTAAAACTCAAGATTAGTAGAATTGTGCATAACATAACGTAGCATTAAATAAAATAAAAATAAAAAATAATGAATCTCAATCGACTAGAAAGCAGAATAGATACCGCAACACCAACAAAATTAATAAACTCAATAATTAAAATTTATGAAAAAAATGCGGGAGAAATTATAGCATCTACCGCTAGCAACCTGGCAACTTTCACTACATAAAACAAGATCATAAATAATGACCGGTAGTAATACTAATAGACTAGTAAATAAAATAATAAAATAAATTGGTATTATATTGTAGAATGAGTATAGAGCTTAGAGCAGATTAGAGTCAGTTGAATATTCATCAATAACATCATCGCTGTCGTCATCGTACACATCATCTTCAGTGGCCTTTTTCCTTTCTTCGCACTCTTCTCTCAGCAGCTGTTCATTATTCTGAGCGACTTCAATGAGAATGCCAGCGACCCAGCAAGCCACTATGTCAGAGATAATACGCATTTGCTGATACACTTTTTCGTCCTCGTCCAAGGCCGAGTGTGACCCGTTAATAATAACGCCAGTTAACCGGTTCAATATTACTTCCGCTATATCTTTGAATTCTTCACGGGGTAATGGACATTCCCAAGTGAGAATGCTGCGTACTAATGCTTCCGCTAATTTATATTGACACAGCACTGCATCTCTATTAAATTCATCAGTTTCTGGTGATGCTTTTATCGCTTTACCACGGCATATAATTGTTTTTAATTTCGTTTTTTTCTTCTTTTTTGTGTCGAAGAACAACTCTTCCGCTTGTCTGAAAGTTAGTAAACAAGTCAGTTGATGTCATAAATAAATATTATGTTTGATTTAAAATTAATAAAATACTCTGGGCTTAGAGAGTCCTCAAATTCCAATATATTAATTAAGCGATCTATCAGCGGTGCTGGCAAAATATTTTTACGATCTCGTAAAGTTGAGACAATACGATGACGAGGAGGTTCTGATAATTTATCGCGTATTAATGTCACCCGTTTGTTTTTATCACTTTTAGTTTGTGGTGGAGTACGGATGCGACTGAAAAAAAATATTTTTATTTGTCAGTCATCAGAAATAATTGATTAAAATTTATTTACTAAATATTTGATTATTTTTTTAACAAATAAATTATGGCAGAAAAAATTAGAAAAGAAAATTGACATGTAGATATTTTAAAAAATTAAAAATGCAATTTTTTTTAAATAATTTTTAGGAAAAAATTTGTTTGTTAAATAAAATTAAAAAATATTCAACAAACTGGTAACTTTAATGTCAAATAATTGATGAAAATTAATTTTATGATATTTGATAATTTTTTTAATAAATAAATTATGGCAAAAAAAAATTAGAAAAGAAAATTGACATGTAGATATTTAAAAAAGTTAAAAATGCAATTTTTTGGAAAAAATCTATTTGTTAAAAAAAATGGTTAAGACTGCTAACTTTAATGTCAAATAATTGATAATATTATACCGTGGAGTTGCTAATAAATTAATCCAGTCTTCTTTGTCTAAACATTCACGGGGTATGGATTTCCTAGCTCTATTTTTAATCCTTGGGGCGTCAGAGGCTAATTTTGATACTTTATTATTAGATTTTTCATCGATTATTCCTTTTTGTATTTCTTCTTCCAATAATGTTTGCTTTATTTCAGGTGACTCTTCATCACTGTCATTATCCATTGTACTTGTTAATTTTCATCTAGCCTAAAGTAAATATTAAATAATCATTAGTTTTTTGACAAGGTAATAGCCGACATTTTTAATTTTCAATTTTTTTTCATTTATTAAATTAGATAAAAATATTTTTCAAAAATTGCACTAATAGTTTTTTACGAATTAATTTTGTTTTTTATTTGTTTGTAATAATTTTTAATGACACTGAAGTTGACAGACAGAAATTTTTTAGAATTTTAAAATAATGAAATTATTATATAATAAATTAAATAAAAAAAATTCCAAATGTGAAAATTAAAAAAAAATTATTAGAATTTTTTATTTTATTTTATTAATTAAATTAAAACCACAAAAATATTTTTCAAAAAATGCACGTATAATTTTTATAATTTTCTACAAGTGAAATTTTTTCTTTTCATTTTTTTTAAAATAATTTTCAATTAAATAAATTATAAAATTATAAGATGTCGGCTAATTTAATTTTCATATTCATTGGTTATAAAAATTAAAAAAAAATTGACAGCTGTCAGCTAACTTCAGTATCATAAACTAATATTAAACTTCTTTTTTCAATTTCAGTTACCAAAAAAAAAAAATGAGCGGGAATTTTTCAAATTAAAAAACACAGGTGCGCCATCTAGCGACGAACCAAAAAACTAACTATTGGTTATTGGTTCATGACGTCAGACACTCACACACTTAGAAAATTATATATGATGCGAGTACTGTATGATGAGCTTGTGTAAACAAGACTGGGACACATATATACACACACTCAGTGCAACACACACGTAAGTAGGATACAGAATGGAAGGAAGAGAAGTAGGGCTGTGCTGGTTCTATTATAATCTGCTGGTGGCTAGCACTCAGCTAGTATAGACTAAAACACACATATATTTATCCGCGTTATAAATCGATTATTATTATTCTCAAACACTTATTATTGTTCTACTGTTACAAGAAATTAATGCGAAAAAATAATTAACTCGACTGAAAATAATTACAACAATTGCTGTGATTTTTTTCTTCATCCACAATCCACAGTATCAATAGAGCGACAGCTATTATATTGAGATTGAGATGAGAAGTTAATGCGTTTTTGATGCTGCTACGAAAAGTGTGAATTAATATGTGAACGTGAACAGTGAATGTTAATCAAGTGTACAAGCTCCAGATCCAGATTCTCTGTTTGAATTCTGATGACGTTCCAGTTAACTTGGGATAATCCACAGCGATTTCAGTATTATTGCCAGAATGACATAAGAATTTGCTTCGCTATTAATAAAGTTATTGCCGAGAGGGTGATATTTTGATGAAAGTTCATGATTATCATGAGATAACAACGTGAGAATGAGATTTAAAGGTGGTAACCTTTTGGGTTACGCTTTATTTATACTTATTTTACATCTTCATGGTAAATATTATTATAAATATTATGATCAAGTATCAGACGTTTGACAGTAGTTTAATTTTTTTAAATAAATAATGACATTTAATTATGAAAATTAATTCAGCAGATATTTGATAATTTTAAGACTTTTTTTAACAAATAAATTATAGCAAAAAAATTGACATGTAGAAATTTTAAAAAATAAAAAATGCAATTTTTTTTAAATTATTTTTTGGAATAAATTTGTTTAGTTAAAAACAATTAAAAAATTCTCTAATGACTGCTCACTTTAATGTCATCATTTAATTTAGTTGTCATTTGACAATTTTTTAATTTTCTTTAACAAAAAAAATTATTTTTAAAAAATTGCATTTTTTATTTATTAAAATTTCTAAAAGTCCATCTTTTTACTAATTTTTTTTTTCTATAATTTATTTGTTAAAGAAAATTAAAAAAATTGTCAAGTGACCAAGTGACAGCTAAATTTAATGTCATAAATAAATAACATTCGATAAAAATTAATTTACCAGGTATTTGATCATTTTAAGAATTAAAAAAAAAAAAAAAATTGACGTTGAAATTTAAAAAAAATAAAAAATGCAATTTTTTAGAAATAATTTTTTGGAGCAAATTTATTTTTTAATACAATTGTAAAGCTGACTTTAATGCCATTAACATTTGAAAAATTTTCTAAATTTTTTTTTTATTTTAAATCACTAAAAAAAAAAAACTTGATCATACGTCTGTTACATTAACTCTTATTTAATAATATTGAGCAAACATTTAACAATTAAATTTCAGATGAAGTCGAAGGAGGAGGAGGAGTCTGCAAGGACCTGCAAGGCCAGACATACGATAGCGGGTTTTATTACATTCCAGAGCCTTGTACACTTTGTGTATGCGATAATGGGAACCCCAAGTGGTGCAAAGCTGTAATTTGTCGGCTGTCGCAGGTATTTAATTAAATAACCAAACGTAAATAAAACGATTGAGCTGAAAGGTAAACGATACATGTGTAACATGAATATTATGTCGAACAGAAATCGATACCAAAGCAAGATTGTAAGTCATTCAGAATTGGAACACCTTGCTGCGAGTTTATCTGCTTGGATGACACTTTGTCCTCGGTGACGAATGACAAGACGGATGGAATAGAGGGTAATAATGGTGACTCGAGTGCCAGTTATGATCTGGGTTTAAGGCTAGTTGCTAGCTGCATCACGGCTATTCTTTCGCTGAGTCTTCTCTTTTTTCTTATCCATCGATTGCGACAGAGAAAAATACGAGGTGAGTTTATAAAAGATTACAAGAATTTTTCTTTATCGCTCACTTGTGCTTGAGGGCTTGTATGAGACGTAATTATCAATTCTGGATGTATACTTTTTAAAAGTTATTTCTCATACGGGTCTACAACACCAAAATAAAAATTAATATTAGCATTAATAATATTAAAGTCAGCCGACGTTCAAAAATTTTTAAATTTATTTAATCAATTAAATTACGAGTAAAAATACTTTTAAAAAAAATTGCACGTATAATTTTTCAACATGTGAAATTTTTTCTTTTAATTTTTTTTGTAATAATTTTTTCAATAAAAATTTTTTAAATGTCGGCTAATTTAATCTACAATACTAAAGTTAGCCGAAGTTTTTAATTTCTTAATTTTTTATCAATTAAATTATAACAAAAACATATTTTTTTTTAAATTGCAATTAAACTTTTTTAGAAACAAAATTTTTTTTTTTAATAAAAAAAATTATAAAAATTTTTCAATGTCGGCTAATTTAATTTCCATTTAACATTAAATAATTACTAACAAGTTAATGATGTATTTTTGTCAATAAATAAGTTTGCATAGCAGGCAGACAGAACCGAGAGCTAACAGAAGAGCAGCGTAGCCTTGGAAGCATGGGTTACTTAGAACGCGGAGGTCTTCCCCATGGAATGCAAATGGACGAGATGGCTTGTGGAGGAGGATACTCTTTATGGAAGCCTCCAGGGAATTATTTTCCTCGAGGAGAAGCTCCACCACCTTACGAGGAAGCTGTAGCAGCAGCAAGAGCAGAGCAAGCTCTGCTGACGATGAATCCAAATGCGTTGTCAAGTTTGAATCTTCCAAACTCGTATCTGACGACTCAGCACCATTCTATGTCAGCAGCGATTCCTACTGCAAATTTACCAGCGACTGCTCCACCTCCCGCAGCTTACAGCGCGACGAGTCCATCGTCTTCAGTAAACACCAGACAGATTAATTCCAGTCAGCCTCATCCGTGTCACCAGCAATTGCTTCCACCGACAGAAGAAAATATTTCTGCTGGGTACTACAGCGGTGGAGCGGTCACTAATTTTAGTGTCGAGACTAATATTTACGAAAACACAGTACCAGTACCGGTGCCAGTTTCTATGACCAATCAGCAGCGTTCTCCAGAACATTCCAGTGGTACTCACAGTACACACAGCAATCACAATACTCATAATCATAATCATGGTAATCATGGTAATGAGCAAACGCATCTCCAGAGCTACCGAGAGTCGTTACGTCACACGGCGTTACCTCGACAAGGCAGTGCGTTCACTATTTCAGCAACAGTGCCAAATCCAAATACTATATCAACGCATCGTACTATTCCGCGAACGTTAACGACTAGTACTAACGCTAAATTAAGACGGGATTTTGTTAGCCATCAGCAACCGGGTGTACTGCCGCTCGTAAATGCTTCCACAAAAAATGCCAAATCGACGGAACATATTCCTAGACTTAGTATGTCTTCGTTAATTACTGCTAATGCCAGTGCTAGTGCTGGTGCTAGTGCTAGTACTAGTACAGGTACCAGTATCAGTATCAATGGTAATGATAATAATTTACCGTTGACAAGTAGTGGACATATAGAAATACGTGGTGATAATCAGCAACGACTCGCTGTTGATCCGCAACCCTCTTCGTCGGAGATTAAAAATAATTTTACTACGCCTGTTCGTGACAAGGCGGTAAGTTTTTTTTTTTTTTTTTTAATTAACTATCGGAGTACACACTTCTAAATAGAACTTTAGTTCTCGTGAACTATTGACATTTTTAAAGATATAAGCTCATCCCGATGTTACTCTCATCAAGACCTTTCATTTGAGTACCCACATCATTTTTTCATATATTTATATATATTATATATATATGTGTATATGAAAAATATATCAAACTGCATGTGGGTATTCAAATGAAAGCTCTTGATAAGTGTAACATCGGGATGAGCTTATATCTTTAAAAACGTCAATATTTATCAAAGTACAGTGCAATTTAACAATAGTCATTATTTAATAAAGCGAAATTTTATTTATTTATATTTCACAAGTCACGGCAGTCACATAGTGACTGCAAGGTTGTTAGTTTGGATTATACTCAATAGAATCTTGGATTATACACAGTGATATTTTCGACGTTTTTTTTTCTGGTGTCTGCACACAGCATTATCATATCTATTATATATTTTAAATATTAGGACAATCTAATATTTTTTTAAATACTATCTGAAATTATTTTTTCACAACAGAAATCACTCAGTATAATCTGGGATGATATCTCAGAAATTATGCATTTTATTGGAATTCAGGTTATTACATTTTTAGTATGTAAAACAATGAACTTTTGAATACAATAATTATTATTCAGAATGAAATAATTTTTAACTGTAAAAAAATTAATTGAAAAAAAACCCAGTGTACTCCGAGGGTTAAATATTTGGTTTTTATTTTCATTAAAATTGAATTATAAATTTTACATGTTTCAGCCATTAATATTTAGCAATAGCGCTGAACAAGACGGTAGTTTTGACTCAGTAACGTGCACATGTAGCACACAAGTCCTTCCAACATTGCACGATGACACTGACGACTATCGTAGTGAGTGTGAGAATTGTAAGAGTGCCACTGGTTCGCGTTATTATCTGGATAATGAGGATGAACTAGTGACATCGCCACATGAAACTATGACACTTCACAGAAGACCTGAAGAAACTGCCGCAAGTATTACTCCTCAGTATTACAGGACTTCATTGACACTGCCAACGAGTACTCGCCAGCGTACAAGGTAATTTTAGAGACACTTTTTAATTAACTTTATTAAATAGTTAATTAAATCTAATATCTGATGATTGATTTTTAAATCAATATATTCTACGGCTGATTTAATTAATTGATATTTAATGAGCAAAGTAAAGAAGACAGAACTATTTTTTTTTTTTTTTTTTTTTTTAAATCAAACTTGATCCGTTATTAATTTTTTAGGGGAGCTGGCGGCCGAGGTAATTGGTTTAGTTCTATGCCAGAAAGTTCAACAGAATCTTCCGATAATGATTAAAAGTTACAAAAAAGTCTTAAATAAATAAAAAGTGCGATGTTTTTTGTGAATCTGACTATTATATTGTAAGTATTAACGAGATATATACATACATATATAAATATATGGTAAGAATGATAATATATAATTAATAATTATTATTATAAAATAAAATGAACATTTCATTGACTGCTAAATTGACGGATTTAAAAGACAAATATTAATATTAAAAAAAAAACGTCAGGTAATTTTTTTTTTGTTAGTTACAAATAAATATATTAAAATAAAATTGAAAGCTAAATTACCGAGTGGGTAATTGGAATAATTGTGTTTACGATTGCGACTATTATATTTAAAAGTATATTATAATAATAATCAAACTCGGTATTAAATTTTGCGCACAAAAAGTCGATGAATGTGAATATATTAGATATTTAATTACAATATAATAATCACGGATATAAATTATTGATAATGATTATAATTACTATTATAACATTCGAAACAATGAAATAATCGTCTGATAAATTATAAAATATATAAATCACCATCAAACCGAATATCATAGATACTTATGGATAATAAATAATTATTAATCATATTTAATATTTAGATATTATTATAATTATTACTGATGTAGAATTTTAACGATTATTTGATTTAATTCTTCTCTCGATACTTAGAGGCCATTAAAAGAAACAAACAAGTAATTATTATTAATGAATTAAGTTGTTGATTATTAAATAAATATTTAAGAGCCATTTTTTGATTGTAATTATAATGGATAATAATGATAATAACTATCGCCAGTAGTTATCTCAAGTTACCAATCACAACGTGAATCTAATAATAAAATCGTCTTTCTGTAATTTAAATTAATTTAATTTAATAATTAAATTAATTAATTAAATTAAATATATTATTTATATTTATTTTATTGTAATAAATAAAACAAAATTAAATAATATATAATAATTATAATATACAATAATCATTTTTAATTAAGTACCGACGAATACCAAATGCAATACAGTATTAATTTATCAATTGTAATCATCGATTTTATTACATGCTTAAATTTTTACTCCAGATTTTTTGTTTGATACTAAAAAAAATTTTTTTAACTGTATTTATATTTGCTTTTATTTTTATAAATTTTATCTGTCATTTTTTTATTAAAATTAATTTATGATAATAAAGTTAGCAGTCATTAGGGAATTTTTAAAGTTTTTTTAACAAACAAATTTGTTCCAAAAAATAATTTTTAAAAAATTGCATTTTTCATTTTTTTAAATTTCTACATGCCAATTTTTTTTCTTATTTCTTTTTGCCATAATTCAATTTAAAAAAAAAAAATTCTAAAAGTTATTTAATATCTGCTAAATTTATTTTTATAATTAATTTAAAGTCTATAAAAAAAAATTCAAAAAATTGTTAATTTATTCCGGTATCAAATAATTGATTTAAATAAAAATTTATGCGTGTATAATTATAAAGAACCAAAAAATAATAAATAACATTATAACAAATAAATACAAAAAAAATAAAAATGTTGATATATATATATTTGTCACGTACATACTATTTAAACGATGGTGATATCTAATATTTTAATTATATTAAAAATTTTAGTTATTCATTATTATAATTATCGTTGATCAATTATTATTAAAATAATGTGTGTTTATTTTTGATACTATGCTCTCTGTTTTTTTATCGAACATTTTTATCGATTATTAATAATAATATATATGTCATGTTATATTTTATTCTTCTTCAGTGTATATCTTTTATAAAACGCGATGAAAAATTTTAATTCGAAAATTAAAAGTCGTTTAATTAATTCGTTGAGTAATACAGTATCGAAACCAATTGCTTACGAGAAAAAATTAATAATTATATCCAAATAAATGTGTCACATAAACAGTTTATCATTATATCAATAATGTTTACCTTTAAATAATAAGTTATTATAATTAAATATAACACTAATACTAATAATAACAATAAAATAAATAATAACAATTTTTGATTGTTAATTTTTGTCACATAGAAGTACAATATGTTAATTTTTTTTTTGTTAATCAGTGTTTGCACTGATATTTTATTTTTTTAAAATTTATTTTTAATATTCTATACTTTGTTTTATTTGTAATGAATTTTATTTTTTTTATTGACTTTTGTTTAATTGTAATTGTACAATTATTAAATAAAAATTTAAATTTATATCAGAATTTTTTTACTTTTTATTTTTTTACCTATAATTTTATATTATGACCTATTCCAATTAATTTTTCATTAATTAAATATAGAAAAATAGATAAAAAAAAAAAAAATATTATAGTTTTTAAGGATGAAAATTAAATTAGCTGACATTTAAAAATTTTTATAATAAAAATATCATTAGGAAAAAAAAAAAAAATTAAAAGAAAAAATTTGAAAAATTTTAAGTGCAATTTAAAAAAAATATTTTTCTGTTCTAATTTAATTATTGACAAAAAACCTAAAAATTAAAAGTGTCGGCTAACTTTAGTATATTATATAATTTGAGTATCATTTTTTAAATTAGATAATTTTACCGCCAATTTTTAGTCGGTCATAATCGTATTTTTTGATTGGAGATGCTGTGCGTGTTTACAAACATTAGCGTACATAATTGATAATAATATGAAGCAAATAATTAAATTAAATTAAATTAATGGACCTAAATAATAATCTAATAAAATAAATGTCTAAATTTTTGAAGTATTTAATAATAATTACAAACAAAAATGCCTTTTAATTTTGAAAATGTCAAGATACAATTACATGCCGAGCATTATTTGATGAATGATTGTTGGTTAAAAGATTGCGTTGGTTATTATTCAACAGAAGTCAACCCTCAGGTAATTAATTTATCAATTAAAACTAAAAAATAATTAGATTAATTTATTTTCAAATTATTTTAAGGTTAACTAACCTCTTAGTGAAATAAAAATTTTAATTTTATGAACAGGCAGTCCAAGCTGAGATTGTCAAGTTTGTAAAAGACCAATGGATTTTAAGTGACTTAAGAGAAATAAATGATCAGCGTGGCTGTTTACCTGAAAATCTTGCACAGCAAAAAATGATAACTCTTCCCGGTACTTATATTTTGCAGGTACTGTTTGTTTTATTTAAACTAAGTAGCTTAGACCAAAGAACACCTGGATTTTCATGATTTTTATGACTGACAGGTTGAAAAAGGATATGATATATCGACATCTAAATACAAGCAAGTAGAAAAGATACGGAACGTTTCTAGTGAAAATATCGAGGTGACTGAAGCTGAAAAAAATCCGACATGGGAACCCAAGACCAAGAGAATGATGTACCTGTATCTCACTGACGGCAAGCAAGAAGTTACTGCCATGGAACACAAACCTATACCTTTCTTGAAGGTGGATTTTTATTATTAACTATCTTTTAAGTTTATAAAAAATTTATTTATTAGATGTAAATTTTTTAACAGGATCATTTACTACCAGGGTACAAAATTATGATCAAAGGACCCGTTATTTTGCGAAGATCGGTTATTATGCTAGAAAGTAAAAACTGTTCTCACGTTGGCGGTGAAATAGAAAGTTTGCTGATTAAAAACGCTACTGAAAACGTTTTAGCACGTGCATTGTAAGTATTTTATTCTTAGCACTTTATAATAACAATAGCAATAACAACAATAATAATAATAATTTTAATGAAATTATTATTATTTATATTATTAAGAAAATTACGAAATAACCCTGTATCTCGTGAACTATTGATATTTTTTAGGATATAAGCTCATCCGGATGTTACACTCATCAAGACCTTTCATTTGAGTACCCACATCAATTTTTCATATATTTTATATATTTATATATTTCACAAATACCATATATATAAAATATGTAAAAAATTTCATGTGGGTACTCAAATGAAAGGTCTCGATGAGTGCAACATCGGGATGAGTTTATATCTTTAAAAACTCCAATAATTAAGAAATGACCTTGTATCTCGTGAACTATTGACATTTTTAAAGATATAAGCTCATCCCGACATTAGATTCATCAAGACCTTTCATTTGAGTACCCACATCAATTTTTCATATATTTATATATTTTATATATATGTATATATGAAAAATATATCAAAAATGCATGTGGGTACTCAAATGAAAGATTTTGATGAAGGTAATATCAGGATGAGCTTATATATTTAAAAATGTCAATAGTTAAAAAAGTACAGTGCAATTTAACTGAAGTAATTATTTAATAAAGCAAAATTTTATTCATTTACACTTAACAAGTCACGGCAGTCACATAGTGACTGCAAGATTGCTAGTTATTATTATTATTATTTTTATTTAAAATTTGTTTTAACACAGAGGACTTAAAGAAAATCCAGATCCGTATAATGATAAAAAATCTGATGATAAAAATGAACCACTATCATTGGACGAAGGTATGGATATAGACATGGATGCTCTAGATCAGATTGAAAAGAAATATGATGACAATTCTGGCGTAAAAGCACCTAAAACAAAACCCACAAGTGCTACAACGAGTAGGACCAAAAGAAGAGAAAGTGTTCTACTTGACAGTCTTCCTGTTTGTTTTGATAGTATCGAACAAGTTGAAAATGAATTCGCTGATGATTTTGACGACATGATAGGAATGATAGATGAAGCTAACTTGAATGTTGTTGGTGGCGGTGACAAGGATGTCGAAATAGAAGAAGTAAAAATTGAAGCTGAAAATACCAGAGCTGGAGCTTTTCCTGAAGATGATTTTCCGACTGATTTAGAGTTTGATGAATTTGAATTTGATTCTTTTCCTTATGAAAAAACTACTAACATGCTAGAGGAGGACAAAGTTGTAAGTGAATCTTTGAATAATGTTGTGGATGCTAGTAGAAGTACAATTGTCAGTAATGCTACAGCTTCCAGTTGTGTTAAAAGCAACGTGACTATTAGTAATGCTAAGAACAATGTAACTGGTAGTAATGTTAAAAATAATCCTACTAATATTACTAAGAGTAACTTTAATTTTAAATCCTCAAATGATTCAAGTCACAAATCAATAAGACAGAGTAGTGAAACTGTAAATAAAATACCTGAAAAAATGACTCCGTCATTTTCTGGCAGTGAAGTTTGTCGCGGATCTCCGATGAAAAATGATAACAAAATTAGTCCATCCAATAATCCAGTCATTGTAAGTTATTAGTTATTTAAAATAATATTGAATAGAATATTTTTTTAATTATTTTTTATTTATAGAATCCATTTGTTACACCGTCAAAAAATCCCCCGAAGACTATTAGAAAGGAGACGCCTAAGAGAAATCTGAAGAATGTACAAAAAATAACAGACTTCATGAAAAAAAGTGTGACACCTAAATCTGATGAAAGTAAACTGAGCTCTGCGTTGATAGATAACTATGACTTGATTAAAGACATTGAAAAACTGATGCCCGTTTCTAGAGAAATAGACAAAAAAATAAAAGGCACTATTATATCGCTTGCGAATCTTGAGAGAAGAGATCCCAATTGGTACTTGCAGGGAGTTGTTTCTGATAATACTGGAAGTATCAGTGTATCTTTTTCTCCAGCGGTAAGATATTTAAAAATTTATTATTTTTTATACAAGGTAAAACCTCCAATAGATGCTCATGTACAAGTATATGATCACTCCATGTATTTGTATATCTATATTTGTGAATATAAATCTATGACGCAGATTTTTTGCAGATACTTAACAGGTTGATTGGATTTAATCTCGCTGAATTTTCTCAGATGAAAAAATTAAAAAAGACTGATCCTGAAGTCGCAAATAAATTAAGACAAGTTAGTTGGTATTTTTATGAATTTTTTTTCATATTATTTTAGCTAGTTGAATATTTTTTATTTTTTATCAGGGGCTACGTGGAGCTGAATTCAAACTTAGTCATCTTCATACATTGTTGAGGTGTAAATTATTACCCAACAATCCAGTTTTGTTTGTTGAGTCCATGCTTGATTTAACAGGAGGTCAAAGAAAAGAAGTTTAAATTGGTTCTTATTTATCTGTTGTCATTAATTTTTATACAAAATAAATTTTCTACTTTTTCAATCGAGTTTAGTTTTTTACACTAACTCTTTTTATATTAAAATAATTTACAGTTTAGATTTTATTCACGAAAAATTGGATATAAAATTAGTAATATAAAAAATGAAGAATATAATTTATTATTATAATTATAATTAATTTGTACAGAAAAATAAAGTTTTGCATCGGCCAGGAGTCGAACCTGGGTCACTCGAGACACTTGTTTTTTTTTTTTGTTTATTTATTAAATATAACAATAGATGTACAAAAATTTGTAATGTTGCACTTACAGATATTTTATTTTAAGTAGCTCCTGCTTAAGAATAAAGCTTAATCTAATATTTTATTTTACATTAAGTTTTTTAATCTTAGTATTTAATGTTTTATTTAAAACTTGAATGCAGTGTTATAGCAAAGGCAGTAGTAATTTACTTGAATACAGGAAAAGTTCGCGCAAAAACCTGTGATTGAAATTTCTTCCAGACATGAGCCTGTATGCTGTTTAAAAAATAGCATTTGTTTCAGTTATTTACGTGTTTATATTATTAAATATTTTTAATTTTTGATATGGTAGTTTGTGTTTGAATGTGGGAGGTATATTATACTTTCTGATATTTGTAATGTTTTTGGTTAAATTATTATTGCTCAATTGCTGTTCGTAAAAATTATTGGCCAGTTTGTAAATATAATCTTTTATAAACATTAGGTCAGAGTTGTCTCATGCATTTTTTTAATTCTTGCGTATCTGTTTTCAGAAAGAATAAGTCTAAGACATTTATTTTGGTATCTTTGGAAGAGTAGTGTAAGTTGGTTGGAGATGGACCACCCCATACCGGAGCGGCATATGTCAGGATTGGTCTCTGAATCATTGTGTATATTAGTTTTTTATTTTTTATTGACAATGTCGAGCCCTTAACCATTAAGGGATACACTTTTTTTTGTACTATAAAGGCTTTTCTGATTGCTTGTTTGATATGAGTGTGGTATGTCAGTCTGGAATCTAGATGAACGCCTAAATATTTAACTGTATTTGCTGGTTCTATGCTGTGATTGTATACTTTTATTGGCTGGAATATTTTTTTATGAAAGAGTGTGCGTGCATAAATGGCTGTATCAGCGAATAGTGCTGTGCTCGTTTTAAGAAAAGTAGGGATGTCGTTAAGATAAATATTGAAGAGTATGGGACCAATAACTGGGCCCTGTGGGACACCAGCTTTGATTTTTCTTTTTGTTGATACAGTACCATTAATAGATACAACAAAGTGCCTGTCAGATAGGTAAGAATAAATGAGTTTGATAATTGTCCGTGGATAATTGTAATTCATCAATTTAAAAGTTAAGCCATCTATCCACACTCTATCAAATGCTTTTTCTATATCAAGTAATAGAAGAGTTGTAACTAGATTTTTGTTGAAATTAATTGAGATGTCATTTACTATTCTTGTTACTTGCTGTACAGTGTTATGCTTGCTTCTGAACCCAAACTGATGATCCACTAAAATGTTATTCTTTTCATCATGTTGTATGAGTCTCTTAAGGATCACTTTTTCGTAGACTTTACTCATCGTTGGTAGAAGACTAATTGGACGATATGACTACTTGGATCTGTGCTTATTTTGCCAGGTTTTTTGATTGGGACAATTTGCCCTATCTTCCAGTGCTCCGGAAAGTAGGATAGCTTGATGGAGTTATTTTCTTATATATGTAAGTTGAACAAGTGCTTTTCGAGATAAGTTTTTAAGGACTATATTCTGTATAGTGTCTTATCCTGGTGCTTTTTTAGAAGGTAGCTTCTTGATGATAGATGACAATTCACGTGGTGATGTTATAAATTTATCCCAATTTTCATTATCATTATCAGTTTCTTCTAGATATTTCTTTACCTGTTTTATTATGTTTTCTTGCTCACATGTATTATTAACTAAATCTATGTTGTGAACCTGTTCAAATTGGTCTGCCAGCATATTAGCTTTGTCGTAGTCAGTAAAAGCTTCAACTCCATTTTTAACGAGCACTGGGGTATTATTGTCTTCCATTTTCAGTATTTTAGTCATTCTCCATAGTGAGTTGTCATTAGGATTCAGCTTTTCCAATTTATTGGACCATTCCTTGCTTCTGTGATTAATTATGGCTGCTCTTATTTGATGAGTGAGTCTTGTTACTTCAACTTTGTTTTTATTTTGCCTAGAGCGCTGCCAAATTTTCCTGAGATGATTTCTTTGCTTATTAATCATTCGCAGTATACCATATGGTAATTTATCTTGCAGGTTTTTAAAGGTTGTTTTAGGGATAGTTTTATTCATGCTGCTACAGATATCAGAGGTGAATTTTCGTATTGTTTGATCTAGTTCATCGTTTGTTTTAATTGTTGATGTGAGGATTGTTTTCTGGTCAAGGTATTTTCTAAAATTAGTCCAGTCCGCTTTTTTGTAGTCGTAGGCTATTTTCTGAGCACAGTTTCTTTCTTGTGATCCTAGTTCTAGTAGAACCGGTGTGTGATCTGAGTTGAGTTCATGCAAGACTCTCATGTCTGATACCTGACTGACTTTTTTTATTTATAGCAATGTCTATAGTGGTAGGAGTGGAGTTATTGGTAGGATAGTGCGTTGGTTCGTCTGGAAAAATGATACTCCAATTATTAGAAAGGGTGTAATTAAATAACGTTAATCCTCTGTGATTATTGACATGATTATTCCAGCTGAGGTGTCTAGCGTTGAGATCCCCAACCAACAGTACTTTATCTCCAATGCCTAGAACAGAGTCTAATTCTTTAGCTGTAAAATTATTAGCTGGACTATTGTAAGCTGCAATTATACAAATGTTACTTGCTAATTTAATTGAAATACATTCTATAGTAATACTATTGTCTATGCTAAGTTCCTTATAAGCTAAATCTTTTCTAATTAATATTGCAACTCCACCTGCTGTATGACCTTTATCTTTGCGTACACAGTTATAGTTTTTGATTTTAAGTTTTATCTTTATCACTTAGTCTAGTTTCATTAATTAAAAATATATCAATTTTATAACTATTTAAAAATTGGATTACTTCTCCTAATTTATTTTTCAAACCGTTTGAGTTCCAACTACATATTTTTATGTTATCTATGGTGTTTCTAGTTTAGCTGTAAAATTTGCAAATACGCTAAATTTTTCCGTCTGTGTTGTACGAGACATTTGTAGATGAGTATTCTACCACTAAACTACCAATGCAGCATTTGATTAGATATTAAGTTTATATATAAACTCAATAGTAAAAAATGACGTCATTCTAGTCATGACTCATTTTCTTTATATAAAAACGATTTCTTTTATATCAATAGAAGATACAAAGCTAAATTTTATTAATTATAAAATTTATATATTAATGACTGGACTTATTTTTTTTTCTAGAATTCATCAATATTTATTTTTTTTTTTTATTAAGAAAAATTACAAATTTAAAAACTTACTTTGCCTTGGAATCTTTTATTTTCAATATTATATTCTCAAATTTTCTACTTTTTCAATCGAGTTTAGTTTTTTATAATAACAAAATAAATAACAGTTTAGATTTTATTGACGAAAAATTGGATACAAAATAAGTATTATAAAAAATGAACATTATATTTTCTTAATTCTTATAAAAAAATAAAGTTTTGCATCGGCCAGGAGTCGAACCTGGGTAACTCTTTACAATTGTAGGTGAGTGCTTTACCACTAAGCTACCAATGCGATTGATCCAATCGAAATTAAGTTTATATAAACTGAATAGCAAAATATGACGTCATTCTAGTCATGACTCATTTTCTTTATATAAAAAAGGTTTCTTTTATATCAATAGAAGATATGTACAAAGCTGAATATCATGAATTATAAGATTATAATTATTATAATTGTTATTAGTGACTGGACTTATTTTCTTAATGTTTAATTATTTATCTTCTATGATTAAGATCCCAATAATGTTCACCGTAGTTTCCATCATTGTTTCCCCACCGTACCTAGAATTCATCAATATTATTTTTATTTAAAAAAAAAAATTATAAATTTAAAAACTTACTTTGCCTTGGAATCTTTTATTTTCAATATCATTCTTCTCAAATCTCTGCTCCCATTTACTTGGATTTTCAAATACATGTCCAAATTCTAATTCCAGCGGTTTTGAATGCTCCATAAAAATATCTCTATGATTTATATAAATAAAGAAAATTTTTAATTTATTAAAAATTATTTTTTAATTAATTAATTAATTATTTTTTAAAATACTAATCCAATAAAATTAACTCACTGGAAATAATTTTGATTATTATAAAAATCATTCACCGGTTCTTTGCTATTTCTTCTTCGTGGATTCTTTAAATCTAAAAATAAATAATTAAAAACACAAATGAATTTTATAAATAAATTTAAATAAAAAAAATTACTTTGTAAATCACGTGGGAGCGTAATTTGAGCACTTGTCAAAACAATAAATCCAAGAATAAAAATCAATAAATACTTCAAGCTCATAATATATTTCATTATATTACAATCGAATTGATACTAAGTAAAATAATATCTAAAGTCAATCTTAAATAAAACTTCCTGTTACGGCTAAATTAACATGCTTTCTTAAAGAAAGTTTACAAAAATAAAATAACAGATTTCTTTTTTTATATTTAGCATAATTTATTTAGTTTAATTAAATAGTAACACGAGTATCACACGTTGAGAGATATATACATGTTAATTGGAATAAATAACAATAATAATAATAATAATAATATTAATCAATGGCAATAGATAAATTATTTATCAAATGAATAACTATTTTTTGCACATTTCATCATTGATTGCATTAGTTTTACAAATCCAGTGTCCTTGGGTTTTTCTAATCCTCTTAAGACACGATTCTTCATCACTGCTACAAACTCACGATTACTCAGTTGTCCATCCACTGAAAAACATCAAATAAATTCATCAATACATAAGATGAAAGCCTCAATTATTCACAGGGGTTTAAATATTAACACCCTAAATTATATTTAATTATCTGTAATAATAAGAATAACTATCATATAAATTTTTATTAGTTAAAAAATTAAAAAAAAATTACTGTCAGTTAAAAATATTAATTACTAATTTAAAAAAAAAAAAAAAGTAGCACCAGTTTATTCAATTAGCTTACGAGCGTCTATTTTCTTAACAACTTTTGTTAGAAAAGCATTTTTTTTAAATACCGAGTTTTAATTAATTTCTTCGTCTAATAGCATGATTTTTTTTTAATGTATGAGAAATTAATAAAATTGAATAATAAAAATTAATTGTGTGCTTAAAAAAAATTAAATTATAACTTTGTCTCTTATAGTGTTAATAATTGGGACTTTTACCTTAATATATAAAATTGAAAGAAGAAATACAAAAATTACTCACAATTTTCATCAAAAATAGTATAGACGACTTGAATTACATGATCACTTAATTCAACGTGTGCTACTGTATGCGCTACATGTTTTAAGGTAGCTTGGTCAATAGACGCGCCGGCAATGTGATAAAATGTCAAAGCTGTATCGACATCATTGATATTATTTAAAAAATGGAAGAATTTTAAGTAGTCTTCTTTGCTGACTCCTTGAGGATTATCTTTGAACTGTTTCTTTACTCTTTTTATCATTTTTATTCTCTTGTTCTCGGGATAACCCGCATAAGCTAGCAACAGCTCTGTGAAATCTGTTTCCGTTATTTTTCCATCTGCATCAGGATTGCGACGTTCGAACTGCAGAATATAATTCAATTAATACCGAATTGAAAAGCGAATTAATAATTGGTACTTTACTTACCTCAAGACTCAAAATTTCTTTTTGCAGCTGTTCTTGAAAGTCGAGAAACTTTTCGATTGTCAATTTCTGGTCCATGTTGGATCCGAAGAAGTAAGTGGTCAATGCTGAATTTACTCCTTTGAAGGTGTTACCAGTGTTAGCATGGTCGCGGTGACGGTTACCTATACTTGTTTGCTGTCTTATTAATGTTGCGACTTTGCTGAATTCTTCGGAATCAACATCTCCGTCGCCGTTGAAGTCAAACATGCGGAAAGCTATTTCAAAATGTCTTCTTGATGCTAAAATTATAAAATTATATTTTTGCTTAATTTAAGTAAACAAATAATAGGGAAATAATTATAGAAATGATAATTACTTGAAAGGACTGTCAGTAAGAAAATGTAATCTGAGAAACTTATCAATCCAGCGCTACCAAGTTTATAGAAGATACTATTTTCGTCTAATTCTAATTCTAATTTATTATGGACGTTCTGTAATAAATAAATAATTTATTAATTAAATTAAAAAATTAATAACTAGCAACCTTGCAGTCACTATGTGACTCCCGTGACTTTTAAATTATAAATAAATAAAATTTTGCTTTATTAAATAATGACTTTTGTTAAATTGCTCTGTACTGTTTTAACTATTGATGTTTTTAAAATGAAAAATTGATGTGGGTACTCAAATGAAAGGTCTCGATGAATGTAACATCGGGATGAGCTTATATCTTTAAAAATGTCAATAGTTCACGAGATACAAGGTCATTTCTTATTTATGTATCTAGAGATAGAACATTTTCGAATGCAGCCAAATACTTTATTATATTATTATTATTTAGAAGAAAATAAATTTCTGATGATAAATATAAAATGCAAAATTTGTTACATATTTTTTTTCACAGTATAATATCAATAATAATAAATTAATAATCATGTTATTTATTATTGATTATAATACAATAATAATTTACCTTTGGATCAAATCGTTTGTACTGATCTAATCCCAAACCTAAAAAAAGAAAAAATATTTTTTTCATTAATAACTTTATAAAAATAAATTTCAATGAATGAAGTAATTATTCAATAAAGTAATATACACAAAGTGAGAGTTAAACAGAAATAAAGCAAAAAAAGTGCATGAAAGATGAAATAAATTGGGTAATATCAAAAATTACCCTCAGGTTGCTTAACACCAGGAGTCATGGATCTCAAGAAGTCATCGGGCGTCATATAAACTTCATGATGAGTGTCAGTAATAGACACTTGAAGAGTCGCAAAGTAACGGAATACTTTGTCAGGTGTTGAGTAATGACGTATGCGGTTTTCATATTCAATTATCTTGAAATTTAATTATGAGATCCAATTAAGTCGCATGCAAAAACAAAGTACTAGCAATTATTTATTGGTTCAACGAGTGGATTAGCCGAGTTGTCACACAATTAGCATATAATACACCATACATAATATGATTTTATTAGATATGTAATATGTACAATAATTATAACTATAACTATGAAGATGATATAAGAGTTAGTTAAAGATTGCAAGTTTGAGGTAATTGCCGATAGTTTTATTTTAGTATTTAATAAACGTATTAAGCGTTTTTATAATTCTTAGTTGTTGTTTTACCGTCTGGTTGCTGCATGCCAGGTGTAATGGCTCGTAAAAAATCGTCTGGTGTCATGAAGATTTCTGTACCTTCCAAACTCGAAATCTTTACTGTCGCAAAATAACGAAAAATTTTATCTGGAGTTGAGTATGAGCGCATTCTATTTTCGTACTCAATTATCTGAAAAAAACATTCTCAACTCTTCAAATCTATTGTTTATTTCACTCAATTAATTACTATTAATTAATTTGTTATTTACCAATTTATTTACAATTTATCAATGGAATAATGGTTAGTTATTAATGACAATTGAAAACAAAAAAAATTAATGACTTTTATTACCTTGCGATCACGAAATCCAACTTTTTGCTTCTTCTTTTTTTTCTTCGGTTCGGAGTCAGCTTGCTCTACAGATGTATTATTATTTTCTTCATTTTCTTCCATTAACATTTCAGCAGCGTCGACAGTAAATGCTTTTTTTATTTGTTTGAAAATCCTAAAATATTCATAAAAAATTTAATATTGTAATTATCGATAATTAAAATATTTTAATTAGGTCACTTGAATATAATTAATAATTATACTACTTAATTTAGCATGAAAATTAAGTTAGCCATCTAGAAAAATTTTATTTTTTTTTATTCAAAAAATTCAGTCATTTGAACATTTTTGGATTTTTTTAACAAACAAATTTATTAAAAAAAGTGTTTTTTAAAAATTGCATTTTTAATTTTTTAAAATTTCTCTGTCAATTTTTTTTTGCCACAATTTACTTGTTAAAAAAATTTTTAAATATCTGCTAAATTAATTTTCATAATTTTCGTCACATAAATTATGATGAAAATTAAATTAGCTGACATCTAAAAATTTTTAGTTAGAATTTTCTTTTAATGACAAAATTATTACAAAACAATTAAAAAAAATTTTCATTTGTAAAAAACATGAAAAACTATAAGTATAATTTTTAAAAAAATATTTCTTAGTTATTATTTAATAAATGAAAAAATTAAAAATGTCGGCAAACTTCAGTATTAAGGTAAAAAACCCAGTTATTGGCACTTGCAATTTTATTTTAATTAAAAAAAAAAAAAAACAAATTAACTCTAATAAATTAATAAATATCATTTTTGAATTATAAATAAAAAAAAAAATTGGTTTTTTAAGATGTAATTTTTTTAATTAGAATAAAATTTCAAGTGTCAAAAAACTAGGTCAGTGTCATTAACTGGGTCTTTTACCTTAGATGTCTGTTAAATTCAGTATCTTATTTATAAGTTCAAGTTTAATTGTTAAAAATATTGAGTAGAATAACATGAAAAATTTATTATTCATTACAAACCATTTCCAGTTGACGTAAGGTGCCGTAATACCAATTGCAAGGATCCCAAGCATGGCAGTTCTAGTTTTAGACAAATCGCTGTTGATTCCATGACCAAAATTACGAAATCCTCGCACTTGAATCACTTGATCTTGACTTTTGTAAGTTTGACTCAGAAGCCTGTGACGCGAATTCGCAGATAATTGAGTAAAAATTATATTTTTACCAATTGTAAAGTATCGACTTTGCACCGACATTTTTTCAATTACTTTTATCGAATCTGAGAAATAAAATCAATCAATTACTCGTAAAAAATAAATGAACAAAGAACTACTCTCTAGTGAATAAGTGAACAAAGAATTACTTACTATCAAATTTTCTATATGTATCCAATACTAATTATTTTTACTCCAGAAGTAACAGCACTTAGCTAGTTCTAACACACCGCAATATTGAAAATTTTAAAGTTTTAATAAAAATTTTGCCAATTTTGCTGGCATGGTCTTTTCGGTAACAGACATCAGAAGATTGCGTGCTATTACGCACAACTGCACGTCCTTTTAGATCTTTTGCACTTTTGCTTTATTTTTTGTTCCAGAACTTTGCAATCCCCCAGTCCTTCAACTTGGATGATGAAATGATCATATTTTCTCTTTTTTTCGATAAGATGATACAAGTACAGCCATCTTTTGGTGAAACAGTAATGAAATTTAATTCAGTAAATATTTAAATGATTTTAAGAATTTTTTTTTACAAATAAATCATGGCAAAAAAAATTGACATGTAAAAAATGAAAAATGCAATTTTTTATGACACTTAAGTTAGCAAACGTCTAAAAATTTTTGATTTTTTTTATTAATTATATTACAACTAAAAAGATATTTCTAAAAAATTGCACTTAAAATTTTTTACATCTTCAATTTTTTCTTTTAATTTATTTTTAATAATTTTTTTTCAATAAAAAAATTCTGAAAATTTTAAAACGTCAGCTAATTTAATTTTTATAAAATACTACAATGTATAAAATTGTAAAATTAATTACTTACCTCACTTTTATAAATAAAAAAAAAAAAAAGAAAATGAAATAACAAATTTTTCAAAATAGAAAATAATTTATTCGTAATAATTCATGTAAATTGACATTGAGTTTTAAAAGTAATAATTAAGATACAATTTCATAATCATCATCCTCAAATTCATCTTGCACAGGTTCCGTTTCATCACTAATACCTTCATCATTATTATTAGGTGTCCATAAACTACTTCTAATAAATCTTTTAGCAGCATTGACATCAATCCTAGGTCCTGGTGTTTTGGAGTTGAATAATTCTTGAGCTCTGCCCATTACTTTTTTTAACCTGTCATTTTCGTTCCTGATTTCATGAAATGCTGGGTCTGCTCCTGTATAATAAAAAATAAACAAACAATTTTATAAGAATTAACAATTAATCCTTTACAAATAAAAATAATAAAAAAAAAAATTTAACAATGCCTACTATTACAAATATTAAATTAAACAAAATAAAAACAAACCTTGAACTCTTAAATGCATCCAAAACAAACTATTTAAATGAAAAGACATCAGTGTATTATATTTAATTTTCTCTTCATTATTTAATTTATCATAAAAAAGCGGATCGTCTGACATTTTTAAAAATTTTTCAATATTACTGACAGCTTCATTAAAATTTTTTAATTGTTTAATAATATTTATGTCACTAGCAAACTCTTTAAAATCATCTTCCATTTTTCTTTTATAACTTCACTTAATAACTTTAAAAAAATCAAATAATTTTTTAAAAATACTTGCTAATATTATTTCTTTTGTTTTAATGTATTAAATAAATTTAATTAATACAAACAAACAGTTGAAAATTAATAAATAACCTGCTGCAGCTCCAAAATGCTCCAAAACCTCGTGGTCAGCTGATCGGCGGCAAAAATCAGAACTAAATATTTAAACTTTCTTATTAAAATTTCCGTAGGTGGTACATCTGACAAGTTTGACATCAGTGATTGAATAACGAGTGCGCTGTCATACGGTTGGTTGACACGACGAGCGAGCGCAGGGTTGCTTGTAGACAAGTGAGACTGAGATAGACGTCTAGAAGATAGTGATGTGGAACAATGTGGTGTAGTGATATAGCCGTAGTTAATGCTAGTAATAAAAAAAAAAATCATAATATGATAGGTAAAAATTTGATAAATATATCAATGGAGCGGTTTTTATGGATTTCTGTGATATTTATTTTTTACACCATATCGCCGTGTACGTCAAATATATCTGATAAACGGCTGTGCTACGACCCTGAGTGCTCTGGTAATGCAAGAAGCCGTATAATAATTTAATCTTTATTTAAATTAACATGTTATTTATTTTATATTATTTTTTTTTTTCAGTTCCAGTTTCTCTGGCTAAGACCGTAATGAAATATCACTCCAATGATCCCCAGATCTTGTCTTTTGAACCCAACGTTGATGTTACGGTGTTTAGTAAAAGCGCTGGTAGTCGCGATGACTTGTGGGGTGTTGAAGTAAATATTTTTAAGATTATTTATTATTTTTAAATTGTAAAGTAAATAATTATTTATTTTATTTTATTTCTAGATCGCTGGACGAAGAGGATACGCTCCGGTGAGTTTTATTCGAGAAAAAAAGGTACTGAAGAAGGATTTAGAACATGAAGTCCCGACAGAAGTCTCTAATTCTTCGGAGTTCGAGAGTCAGAATGGACAAAAAACACAGGACTCGGTGATTAATAGTAATCCGGAGATGAAAAATTCAATGGACTCGATTTCTCAGGTTGTTGAAAATGTTTCTCCGTCTTTTGAGGTCATTGATGGCACGACGATTGATTATCGACCTGATCAAAGACGGGAAGCTGATAATTTTGCTACTAGGATTATTGAATCTGCGGATAAGGAACAACCGATGTTAACGGTTCATCCTAATTTGATATCTACTCAGGCTTTTGATGATAATTCTGCTACGGCGATGCGGGAAAATAGTAGAGAGATTGAGAGAGTTAATGAGTTTGGTAATTTGGAAAATAGAAACCAAAATTCCGGTTTTGATAATAATAATAACAATAATAATAATAATAATAATAATAATAATAATAATAATAACAACAATAATGACAACAACAACAACAACAATAATAATAATAATTATAACAACAATAATAATTATAATAATAATAATAATGATAATAACAATAATAATTTTAATAATAATAATAATAATAATAACAACAATAATAATAATAACATGGGAAGAAATGATATGCAAATAGAAAATAATTCAGGAAATTTTAAAGAAGAATTATTCCATAATAATAATGAAAATAGAAAAGTAGAAAATGTTAATAATTTTGATGATAATAAAGTGGAAGTATCTCAAAGCCAAGATTTCAATCCTGATAACTCACAGGCTGAAGGTCAGCAAAATATTGAAAAAGAAAATGATAATCAAAAGGTTGATAACAATATGAATGATAATTCTCGAGAATTAAATGAAGGGTTTAATGATGCAAGTAGAGAAAATAACGAAAAAGAAAATGAAGAGGCTGATATTCCGGATAACACTTTTACTCAAGTTTTGGGCAAAGTCTCATCTTTGTTTGACAGCTTTACGACTACTGAATCATCAGATTCAAAGCCTCAAGAAATTCCTCCAACTGGTGCTCCTCAAAATGTTGAAAATATAAATCCTCAATCGGAACAACTTGCAGTTACGGAACGGATGAATCATGCTGATTCAGAAGTATTTCAAGATTCAGAACATCAGCCGGAAAATCAAGCACAATCTGATAACTTTGCAGGAAATCAACAAGCTCAAGTTAATTCGAATAATCAAGAAAATCGTGGAGAGTCTAATAATTTTGTAGAGAATCAAAACCATCAGTTTAATTCAGAAAATCTTTCAGGAAACCAAGACCAACATATTAACTCAGGAAATCAAGTTCCATTTAATTCACAAAATCAAGAAAATTCACCAGATACTAATAATTTTTCAAACAACCAAGAAAATCGTGGAGACTCCAATAATTTTTCAAACAATCAACAAGCTTCATTTAATTCTGAAAATTCTCTAGGAAATCAGGGAAATTCAGGAGAGAATAAAGTTTCAGAAAATCAAAGAAATCAGCTACTGAATAATTTTGAAAACAATCAAAGTCCGATTGAATCAGAAAATTTTTCAGGTAATCAAGATAATTCAGTTCAATCAGAAATTTCTCATACGACTCAAGAGTTACCTATAACAACTACTATCCCACAAATTGCTAATCAAAATAATAATAATAATAATAATTATCAGCCTATAAATTCTGATAATAATAATAACAACAATATTAATAATGTTGATACTAATATTAATAATAATGAGAATTTTAATAACAACAATAATAATATCAATAATAATAATAACAATAACTACAACGAAAATATTAATAATGATATGATTAATAATGTTTATGAAGAAAAAAAAGAATATTACAATAACGAAAATATAAATACATCACAAAATCCTTCTGAAAACCAAGAAGAGTCAAACAATCAGCCTGACATCTCTAAACAGGATGAATTTACAGGCTCGATCGACGATTCAATTGATCAGACCTCAAGCTTCAATGAACTTCAGGCTCCTAGAAGTTTATTGAATGTTGAGGACGATCCGTCTTCAACCGATCGTAAGTAAAAATATAAACAATTACTATATTGTTTAGTAAAAATATTCATTATTTTTTTATAATTTTTCTTAGACTCCACTGAATTCACGGAATCCCCAGAAAATAATTCTGAAGAATTTGAGCCGACTACTGCAACTTACGAGGAGTTTATAACTTCAACCAGCCCACCAGAAGAATCCCAAAATATTCCAGAGTTTACAGACTCGACTGCTGATTCAGAAAGCGAAGACACGGCAAATATTGAAGGCTTGGAATCAGGTATATTACTCGTTTCAAAATTAATTTGTAGAATTTTGAACAAATATTTGACTTTAATTAATATTTACTTATCTTTCAATTATAATTTCAGAAATGTCTTCAGATGTTTGCCATGTCAACGGAGACTGCGAGCAACTTGAAAATCAAAACCTTTCGTCAGAGGTACAATACTATCATTCCAATAATCGATATTAATTGCCAATATAATATCATTAATTAATCTTGTTGATAATTTTTAGGATTCTGATGAAGTGTATGAAATATTTAGTTCCTTTGGGACTAAAAATTACTGGGAAACTTTGTCGTACTTAGCATTGACGGCCTTTACTACCTTGCTCTTCTCCCTGGGATACTTTTACTTTGAAAATTCTCGACGAGATGGACAATTGATAGCAAAAATAAACAAGCTTGAAAAAGAGTTACTTGTAGCTACTAAGGAAAATACTGTTCTAGATGATTCATTAAAATCGACTAAAACTAGAGTAAGTATTAATTTATTTTTTCATTAATTTAATTAAATAAAAATTAATAAAAATAAAATTATAGTTGGATTCAATTGAAGATGAGTCTTTTGGTTCCAATGAAATGGTTACATCTCTAAAATCCGAGTTAGAAGCAGCGAATGTAATTATTTAATTAAATATAATACACTTGAAAAATTATTTATAAAAATTTAATTTATATGAATTATTTTACAGGAAACAAAGATGGAGTTAGAAAATCAAATCGCAACTTTAGAAAAAGATTTAGAAAGTGCAACTGAAGCTGGTTTGGAATTAGAAAGAATGTTGAGAGAAATTCTGGCTTCGAATAATCAAGAAAATCCTCTTGCCAAGTCCATCGAAGATTTGCAAAGCCGTTTGAATGCTCAGCAGACTATCAATGATTCTTTGAAAAATGCTCTGTTGCTTAAAACTCAAGAGGTAATTTTTTTTTATGTATTTTAAATATTAATTTTTATTTTTAATTTATTTTTAATTACCGCAGCATGACATTGGTAGAGCGGAGGTGATAGATTTTATTTTTATATTTTAATTTATTAATTAATTCATTATTATTAATTATAATAACTAACATAGACTTATAAAATATTTTTTCATAGATTGAATCTCTTACTGCTGAGCTTGCTGGTACAAATAAAAAGTATGATCAATTGGTGATTGACTTTACGCGAGTAGATGAAGAATTGAAGCAAGTAATGAAATCGAAAAGCGATATCGAAGAGAAGTTGACGAAGAAAATACAAGAAATTGAGAAACAATTGGCAGATGTAAGTGCTATTAATATTAATTGTTATTTATTATTTATTATTTATGGAAAAAAATAATTTTATTGTAGGTATCAGCAGAGAAGATAGTTATGAATAAACAGTTGAAAGAAAAGAAAATGGAGTTGAAAGATTTGAAACAGATTGTTAAATCAAACTCTAGTAATATTGATTTGTCTAAACTGGCAGATGTATCACGAATTAAAGCAGAAGCTGATATGCTGAAAGAAGAACGAGATGAATTGAAAGCTAAATTGGGTGATGTTGAAGGCGCTCATCAACTTCTAGAAGGTTTGTGATTATTCTAAGTGTTAGTTTGTAGAGGTGACGATTAAAAAAAAATATTAATTTGAAATATTTTATGATTTAGAACACATGAAAATGATTAACGAAGAAGTAGTGTCACTAAGCGAGCAGTGTAAAATAGCAATTAAAGAAAAAGCCGAGGCTGAAACTCGTCTGGAAGTACTAACTAAATTTTTCAATGAAAAAGAAGCCGAACGCCAGAAAGAAGAAGCTATGTGGTTACAACAACAAGGAGAAGTTTCAACTACTATTGATAGATTACACATGATGCAAAATGAAATCCATAATTACAAGTAATTATTTTTTATTATATTTAAAATATTTTTCATCTATTTTTTCATATTTTTCTGTAACTATTATTGATATGACTTTGTTTTTAGACAACAAATTGAAACACTTAAACATGAAATATTGGATCAAGAAAAAGAATACAAGAAGCAAATAGCTGACTTAGAAGCCAAGTCTCATGAGAATTGGGTTAATATTTATTATTTAAATTATTTAGTAAATTTTATAAAGATGTAATAATGATAATGATAATAATTAAATTTGTTAATAATTTTATTCCAGGTACGTGCTCGCCAAAATGAACGTCGTTTAGAAGAATCAAAAGCTGAAGCTAGCCAGCTACGTAATAGATTAACCCTTATCGAAAAGAACTTCAGCGACACTGATTCTGATATAAAAACACATCGTAAGTTTGTAAATTAATTTTATTTTTTATATTTGAAGGCCGTTAGCTTTGAGATGATAAAAAAAAAATTCAATTATTAAACCCTTCTACAGAAAAAGGTCTTTATAAACTTCTATCTAAAGCTGGCGGTCTTTAATAACCAAAATACTAAAATTTATTTCTAATTAATGCATGAACTGAAAAATTTAATTTAATTTATTTATTTACTTAAAAAACTGGTACGTATAAAATAAAAAAGACAAAAAACAGATTACTAAAAATGATTCTCAAACAGGAATGGAATCAAATGGCGAGACAGCAACGTCACCTCAATTATTCTTAGCGGAGTCATCAAGCTCGCCGATAATGTTCGCGGGTTCATCGAGTATGCCGCCGCCTCCTTATTTACACGGACCTTTGCCACCGTATATGCACGGTATGCCCCCGCTGCCAGGATATGACGTAGGGCAACGACCTCCACCGCTGGGTGGCCGGTTATCCTCACCTCCTCCAGTGTCAGGACCGCTGACTGGTCCACCACCTCCATTACCATCCTCCAACACCAGTAACAGTAGGTTTAACCACGCTAGTTCTTCGCCTCCGTCGCCACCAATTTCACCAGGTCTTCCATTACCTCATCCTCATTCTTCTCTATCAGGCCACTATCGTCCCACTCAGCCGCCACCGCCACCGCCGGTTCCTTTTCCCGGTGATCGTATACCGCCAGTACCTCTACCTTCGATGCTACCACCACCAGGAGCGGGCAATTCATCCTGGAGTGACGAAAAACTGCCCTCCCGCAACAATGGCGGAAGCTTTCATCCTTTTCAACGTGATCAGCGCGATTTTAGTAACAAACATTTGAGTAGTGATAAACGACAGTCAAGTTATGATCAACATCGCGACAAGTACTCATGATAAAAATTTATGCTCGCCTCTCTCTTGACTATCTCTTTATTAAATTTATTTAATTTTCAAATTTAAATTTATCTTAATTAATATATATATATACACTTGTAAACTTGTCTTTGTTTATTTATAATTAATTAATTATTATTTACGTTATGTTGGGATTTTTTTTTCTGACTTTATTTATGCCGCTTGCCAAGGACGCAAACGTTTTTCTAAAGTCAGGCAATTTTGGAGTACTATGGAAGGACATAATAACAACTCTCATGCTATTCATACTATTATTGACAACGAGAATTTAATTGAGTAGCAGGTTAATAAAATAATAAATTAATTAAGTAGTATAAATTTGTTAGTTTGATCATTTGTAATTATATTAATTTATTTAGTGGTTTTACTTGTAATTCGTTTGTAAATTGTGTATTTTGTTGGATTATATGTTTAATTATTTTATATTTGCTGTAGGTTCCTAGATGGATGCAACTGGATATATCAAAAAAATGTTTTTTATTGTAATTCCAGTATATAATTAAGATATTCAATTTATAAATGATAATTGTAATGAAGTTATAGATAAATAAATAAATATTTGTAATAAATTATAAATAAGTATTCGGGTGCTTATAAATAATCTATTGTTGATAATTTGTGTATTATATTATAATGGAATTCAGTTTTGTAGTTATGTATTTTAGAAAAATTTTCTTGGTATAAGGAATGCAATAAATGTATATTTATATAATATTTAGATGAAATTTTTTAATCCTCAGAGAATTTTATTGATAGTGTTTTATATATTAAACATTTTTTTTATTAATTTAATTAAACCTTATACCGAAATTTATATGTATTCATCGCGACTAATCAAAATAAAAATTACTGCTTTTATTAAAAATCAAATTAATTATATTACAATAAAATCTCGATTGATTTTTTTTATAAAACTACAATCTAGGTAAAAAAATTTATTCACACCTTTGGATATGATGATAGTTAATAATATGTTGAAATATATTAAAAAAAAAAAAAAAAAATTAAATAATTCAATTTTGTAATTATGTATTTTAGAAAAATTTTCTTGGTATAAGGAATGCAATAAATGTATATTTATACAATATTTATACGAATTATAATTAATTAATTTACATTTTATCTGAAAACTTTAACAATATTTGTTAAAATATTTAAAATTGTCTATTGGCGATTTATAAAAAAAACTACGCCAAGAAAATAACGAAAAATATAAAGAAAAATACAAGCACTGCGAATATTTTAATCATCAGCCACCGATTGTTGGTGACTGACTGAAAGTATTTTAGGATTTCAGTGTGAGCCGCCTCGACGTTCAGTTCTGTATCTTCGATGTTTGTGTCTATCCTGAAAAATTAAATCAATTCATTTATTAGAATAATTTCAAAAATGCTCTATCTCTAGATACATAATTAAGAAATGATCATGTATCTCGTAAAATGTTGACATTTTTAAAGAAACTGAGATAAAATAAAAATAAATTTTCTCAATACCTTTCAACCATTTCTTCTTGTTCCTTAACCATATGAGCTAACTGCGAAAAAATCCCTCCAAGTTCAACTATCGTAGACTCTATATTTTGCATCGTTTCTGCTCGAGACATCACATAAGAGTCCTGAGTAATTTATGATCATTAATAAAGTAAATAAAATAAAAAAAACTCAATATTCAACATTAAGTTTAAATAAATACCGTGTCATCTCGAATCGCCTGTTGCATCATCATTTGCCCTCCCATGGGTTCAACATTTATACTAACAGAATTACCTCTAGTATCTTGTTCCTCAAGGAGTAATGAGCTTTGTTGTCCACCGGTTAATGGTAATTTAGTATTTACACGCCCTTGAGTGAACTGCTGTCTCCTGTTTTGCTCTTCCCTCATATTCTATCAGCAATTAAATTAATAATATTATATCAGCAATTAAATCAATAAAATTGTTCAAAAAATATTGATGTACGGAAATAAAAATACACACCTCAGAGCGTACTTCAAGTACGTTCTTGAAGTGATTAGACATATTGGCAAGTTTTGACTGGAGAGTAACCACCACAGAAGAGGAATGCGAAGCTATATGATGACTTTTAGAGGATGATTCTCTCTGTTGCTTGCTCAATTCCTGAAGTTGACCGATTTGTTTATTTAGACTGCTCAAGTCAGTCTTGATAATATTTGTCAGCTCGTCTATTTCCAATTGTCTGTCATCAAAAATAGACTTTTTCTTTGCCACTATAAAAATTAAAAATTTTTTCATTAGTATTAATTTTATCGTTTAATATATCGATGGTCTAATTAGTAATTTGTCTAACTCCATATTTTTTAGAGGGTGATTTTTTTAACATTGTGATGTAGCCATAATCAAATTATAAATTATTTGAATGATTCAAACCTAAATATTATATCTCTAATAGATAATAATGATATTAAATGGTTTTTTAAAGTGATAATGAATTTTGAACTAATTGTTTTTTTCGTACAAATAGAAGATACTCTAAAATGGAGTTAGACAATTTACTAATTAGAACGTCGATATCACATATATATATAATAAATTTGTTAAAAAAAGTGTTTTTTAAAAATTGTATTTTTAATTTTTTAAAATTTCTCTATGTCAATTTATTTTCCTAATTTTTTTTTTTGTCATAATTCGCTTGTTACAAAAAATTTTTGAATTATTAAATATCTGCTACATTAATTTTCATCACATAAATTATAATGAATATTAAATTAGCCGATATCTAAACATTTTTAGAATTTTTTTTTAATGACAAAATAATTAAACAAAATTTTCATTTGTAAAAAACTTGAAAAACTATAATTATAATTAAAAAAAAATATTTAGTTATTATTTAATAAATAAAAAAATTAGTTACTGACACTTGCAATTTTATTTTAATTAAAAAAAATTGGTTTTTTGAGAACATTTAATTTTTTTAATTAGAATAAAATTGCAAGTGTCAATAACTAGGTCTTTTACCTTATAAATTATAAATTGTAAAATCTAGACTTACATATCGCGAGTTTTTCTAGCTTAGCATAAGTACTGGCGATATTTTTCCCAATATTCTTAGCAATCATCATAAATTGTGAGTAACTTTGGAAATGCTTGCCATGAGTTGGACTTTTGACATTAGTCCTCATCATAGTTCTGCCTTGCATGGTCTTGATGGCATTTGCGAACTCGTTACTCCTGTCGCGCGACGTCATGATTGGAATATAATTATAATTACTTAAATTTTCCTTATTATCACTATCTATTTGCCAGTTGTCTGGCTTTCCATTTCCTTGGGATTGTTCTCCGTAAAATGTACCACCAAATTGACGTGGATCGTTGTATGATGTCAGTGGAACATCGTCTACGTCGCCAGTAACTCGTCGCCTACGTGCTGACATTTCATACTCAGTAACCTTAAAGTTTATTTAATATATTAGTAAACAAATACAAATATTATTATTAGCTTACTGTTAAGATAATAAAAAATAATTAAAAAAAATTGCAGATGGACGGTGACACATCATCATTGACAATAGGTTAGGAGTTGATATTTATTATTATTTTAAACAGTATATTTATTTTAAATATTGTTTAAATAGCTGTCAAATTACTTGTAAGAGACATCAGTTGTTGGAATAAAATGTCAGTTTGGTATTTAGGTCAAACTGGTTTTGATATGATAACAGCTGGTGATGTCAGCTAGTTAACTGCATGATGATGACAGTTCTCTAAACAACCATCTTTGTATTTTTAGTACACACTTTCGGTTTTGATGGCGCCAACATTGGTTTCTTTTAGCAAAAATTATCATACTGAAGTTAGCTGTCAGCTGTCAATTTTAAAAATTTTAATAATAAATCAATTGCAATAAAGTTAGCTGACATTTTTGATTTTTGGATTCTGCTTAATTTATTAAATTAGAGCTGAAAAATATTTTTTTAAAAATTCCGCTAATAATTTTTGAAGTTTTTTACAAATGCAAAATTAAAAAAAATTTTTTTTATAAATAATAATAAAGTTAGCCGACATTTTTGATATTTTTATATTTTTATGATACTGAAGCTAGCCGACGTTTTTAATTTTTTGGTTTTTTGTTAATAATTAAATTAAAACAGAAAAATATTTTTAAAAAATTGCACTGCCAGTTTTTAAAGTTTTTTACAGATGAAAATTTTTTTTTTAATTTTTTGTAAGCATTTTTTCAATAAAAAACAATTCTAAAAATTTTTAGATGTCGGCTAACTTAATTTTCATATATTTTTATATATAGCTTAATTTATTAAATTATAACTAAAAAATATTTTTTAAAAATTGCATATAGTTTTTGAAGTTTTTAACAAATGAAAAAATTAAAAAAAAATTTTTTTGTAATAATTTTTCCAATAAAATAAATTCTAAAAATTTTTAAATGTCAGTTATCTTAATTTTCACAAGTGGAATTTTTTTATTAAATTTTTTTTTATAATAATTAAATAATTATAAAATTTTCAAAAAATTGTTTTAATGTCTGTCAACTTCAATGTCATATAAAAAATTACTCCCATTACCAATAGAGCGGTATTTCCTAGAGAATTTCGCGGTACAGCCATCTGCAGTTTGAAACTTTTTGTAAAATAGATCACAGTTGTCATCTTGAAAAAAATTTTTTATGGAGCATAAAATAATTGCCTCCCTCTCCAAAGCGTTTTCCCGCGAATTCTATACAAAGACCGGTTGCTCGCGGATTTAATTACTCTGTCAATTAGCCATTAATCATGATTAAAGTTCATCATTAATGTTATAAATTAGCGTTATTTATTTATTTTTTTTAATTGTTATGTGATATCTCTATAAATTCAGTGAATACTTACTAAAGTTAAAGGTAAATTTAAGTTAAAAATTTCATCTGTGATTCAGAGGTTATGCTGAAAGGAAATAGCTTTGCTACTGATCTATTTTTTGTTTCATATAGATCCAAGGTCTTATAAATTGAGATGAAGATGGATGACAATAAAGAAACATCTGAAGTCTGTACTGTCACAAAAGTCATTCCGGCAAAACCAAAAAAATTAGTCCAAGGTATTGTTTAATGACATAAAATTTAGCCGTCACTTGACAATTTTTAAATTTTATTTAACAAACAAATTTATACAAAAAAACTATCTTAAAAAAATTGCATTATTAATTTTTTTCAATTTATTGTCAATTTTTGTTTTATTTATTTTTATTCTAATTTAATTGTCATGAAAATTATTTAAATTGTCAATTTTTTTTTTATTTATTTTTACTCTAATTTAATTATGAAAAAAAAATTATTTAAATTATTAAATATCTGCTAATTTAATTTCCATTAATGTTTAACAACAATAAAAATAATTGACTTGCGATAATTGTTTATTTTTCATTATGATTAAATCATTATTTTAAATATTTATACTGTCAATAATCAGTTGCTTTAAATGTCACAATAATTTATGGTCTATAATTTTTTTTTTTTTTTTTAATAAAAAAATAACATTTTAATTAATTACTTTATTTTTATAGCACGTCTTCCATTTCAAATTTTCTCATCGCAAGATTCTCCAAATAGTTTAAAATCAAACAATAAAAAGCGTAAATTATCATCACCGTCACCAAGTAGTTGTAAATCTGACAAAGGACCTAAAATAGCTCGAAAAGAAAACACACTGGCAAAATCAAATAATTGTGAAGCTGAAAGTAAAACTAGCAGTCACGATGACACCGCTGAACTGCTTAATCTTGATGATTTAGAAGACACTGACACAGTTATAAACCCTAAAAAACGCGGTGAAGATGATAAAGGTGCGATGAAGCCCAATACTTTATTAAAGTACCTTCAGAAAACATCAGAAGACTCTTCCAAAGCTGCTGTGGTGCCAGAGAAGCAAGAAAAAATTAATTCAGAAGCTGTTATCGTGCTGAGCAGGTGTGACGATGTGTTGAAGAGTAAGAGCAGTGAGAACAACTCGGACAAAGAATTAGAAGCTGATAAATTGAGCGAAAAGATTGAAGATTCTAGTGTTGAGGCGATGGACGTTTCAATTGTTGATGATTCTAACAAAGACAAGGAAGATGATAAGTCAACAGATAATCTTGATAACAGCGACTCCGATTCTACGACATCTTCATCTGAAGATGATGATGATAAAAAATCGGATGATGAGAAGAAGTCTAATGATGATACTGATGATAAAAAGAATGAAGATGATGATGATAATAAAGGTGATAAAACGCCAACTAATAAATCCGACCAGTTGGCTAAGAAGCGCAGAACTTTGACGCCGAAGCAACTGTTTAGGAAAATGGAGAGTGAAAAGAAACGTGAGGAGAGGGAAAAGACCAAAGCTGAGAAAAAGAAACTGAGGGCTGAGGCGAAATTGAAGAGACGAGAGATGAAAGAAGCTGAAAAAGAGCTTAAGCGGAAGGAAAAAGAACAGAAGGAGTTGAAGAAGCAGATGGAGATCGAGCTCAAACAGAAGGAGAAGGAACGCAGGGACAAGGCCAAGGAAGAGGATAGACGCAAACGGGAAGAAGCTAAAGAAGAAGAAAAGCGGAAGAAAGAGGAAGAAAAACTGGCTGATGAACGCAAGAAGCAAAAAGCTGCTTCGACATTTGTTAGTTTTTTCGTTCCGAAAAAACAGGAGGCGAAGGCTGTGGAAGAAACAGATATTGGGGCTTGTAATTTCAAACCTTTTGAAATAAAAGCTTACATGAAAGTTGCTCCTATTTGTCGAAGGACTCTCAGTGATAAGGAGAAAGAATTTTTTGATAAGCTGGGAGATTATAAGATTGTTGGTAAATTGTGGTTGGATGAGATTAGAAGTGATAAGAAGAAAATACGACGTTCTCCTCGAACTTGGCCTTATGAAGACAGGGATGACGTTGTAGTTCTAGGTATTGTATTTTATTTTATTTACTTTATTGTAAGGTTTGCTTTATTGGGATTTTTCCAATGTTAACATAGGAATTTTTCCAATGCTAACATAGGAATTTTTCCAATGTTGACATAGAAATTTTCCCAATGTTAACATAGGAATTTTTCCAATGCTAACATAGGAATTTTTCCAATGTTGACATAGAAATTTTCCCAATGTTAACATAGGAATTTTTCCAATGCTAACATAGGAATTTTTCCAATGTTGACATAGAAATTTTCCCAATGTTAACATAGGAATTTTTCCAATGCTAACATAGGAATTTTTCCAATGTTGACATAGAAATTTTCCCAATGTTAACATAGGAATTTTTCCAATGCTAACATAGGAATTTTTCCAATGTTGACATAGAAATTTTCCCAATGTTAACATAGGAATTTTTCCAATGCTAACATAGGAATTTTTCCAATGTTGACATAGAAATTTTCCCAATGTTAACATAGGAATTTTTCCAATGGTAACATGGGAATTTTTTTTTATTAACATGATAGAAATATCCATGTGACACATGAAAAATTCATTTATCACTAAATTTTATGTATATGTAATATAACGCGGTATATTGACACGATTGTGTCTACAGTTCTTATTGGATCTAAATGAAATTAGACACACATATACTTACTTCAGACGATTACCTCAAATGAGTTCAAAGATGGGCAAAATTGGTCGACTAGTTTAGGATTGTAGGCATTTAAAAATTTTTAAAATTACAAAAATCCTGAAAATTGTGAATGTTCAAATAATGAAAAATAAACACATATGATGGTTTGATTTAAAAATAATTAACAAAACTTCTTTCATTATTAAAAGTTTCAGTATTTATTATTCGACAGAATTTTTTTAAAGTTGAAATCTACCTTCCATCTTAATGAGATGGATGAGTTTATATTTTAAAAAATGTCAATAATCAAGAAATGACGTTGTTTTTTGTCCACTAATGATATTGTTAACGATATAAGCTCATCCTGGTGTTACACTTATCGAGACCTTTCATTTGAGTACCCACATGCATTTTTCATATATTTATGTATATTTTATATATGTATATATGAAAAATATATAAAAAATATATGTGGGTACTCAAATGAAAGGTCTCGAT